ACAATTTATAAATAGGTCAATCGTTTCCAATTTGTTGTACTCACATTATTTATTATAAATAAAATAAATAAATACAAAATATTTATTTACCTTGTACGCTAAATCTACACTAACCTTAGGTTGTAGGGGAGTGGGTACTGGGGTGCGTAATCGATGTGTCTACGTTAAAGCACCTGATATCACCGACCCCTGAAAGAGAATTAAAAAACTAAACTTCAACAACAATCCGGACAAATCCCAAGTCTTCAATAAATTTGGGTTTATTTAAGAACCTTTCTTTTCAGACGAAGATACTGCAGACATATTATCAAATGTTGTTTTAATATTTAGACAACCATTGTAGTATGTTTATATCAATCGGCACAACTTTATACTAGATCATGAGAAATCGTCGTCGACATGTAGACAATAGACATGTAGTTATAATAAGGTGTCTAATTAGTAATTAATAAATACCTATTATGGTATCTAATTAAAATTTTCGTCAGACTACCTGAGACGAGAACCAAACCCTCACTTATATGGTTTGTATAAGTTCAATGTGACAGTGTGCGAATATACTTTTAAAAAGTTTGATTAAATCAATAGTTATAATTATAAAAAAAAGAAAAAAGATAGGTACTTATCTATACTTTTCAAATGCTTTCAAATTCATAAATAGTTATAGCGTTAACCAAACTGAAAATTTTAAACCCGTTTGTTTATTTATTGTAATATATTACAAAAAAAGTGTTTAAAATACCTTAAAGAATATTGAAAATATTAAAAAAAAAAAAATTATTCGCTGCGTCTGATCGTCGACAAAAGCGTTTAAACACCAATATGAGAATTCTAAATATTATACTTTAAATGACTTTGCGCAGAATAAGAGACTTACAGCCTCGTGCTCCGTCGCTTCGGTTTTGTTCACTTGATAATTCCACTGAGCCACCGCGTGTTCGTTCAGCTCTTTCTTAGTGAACTGATGCAAACAATTGATTTTAAACTCGTCCAAGTGCCGAGTCGCAGTACCGACCATCTACGTAATAATATGACGTGCAAGAAACCAAAAACAAACAAAAAAAAAAAACCACTTTATTTAAGTTCGCATGCGGTCTCCCTAGCTCGCACTATACTTTTTCATTTGTCCTCTTCCTCGGGCCGTCGGACGACCGAACAGCCGGTACGAACAGATGGTAGTACAAAAAAACATTGTAATAGTAGCAGTGGACGAAAAACGTTAATCGAAACGAGAACATTGCGCTTCTCGTACGACGACCATTAAAAAGAAAGATTTACACACAAGAAAATATAATATAGGAATAGAAGAATTATGTGTTAATGGTATCAAATTATATAATAATAATAATATAAACAAACGACGTCATAGCTATGCGCCGCAGCTGTCATCGGTCACCGTCGCCGACGAAAATATTATCATGACGACAAAGACTTCGCCGATTCCGGTAATTATAAATAATTTTATATTGTACTGGGATTCATTTGTATAGGAGCACACAAGTTTTCGAATTCAAATAATTTTCGTTTTAGATTCTTATAGTCGCACGTGTGTGTACATTATACTCTGTTCGAAACGAAATTTTTTTATTGACCGCCGTCACAAGACTTAGGGAGTGGAAAATATTTCGCCGACGTTAGGGACATCAACAATATATCTATTATTTCGTGTCAATCGCGTAACGACGAAAACAATAAAGGTACCTATTATAATGCCTATTGCCTAGCTACCTATACCTACATGTTTACTTTTGTTACGTCAATCAGCTGCTCGAATATTGCAAACTATTAATCCTATTACCTGTTTGCGTACTCCGTGCTATGACTGAACGAAATAATATTATTAATAAAAAACACATGCAGTACCTCTATAACCTATACTATGATATTGTGTACAGACAATTAGGTGTATTGAATGTTGTAATAACTAATAATATTGCATTATTGCACTATATTATATAGGCACCTACCAATAAAGTGCCTTCTACCACCTGTCACAGACAAACGTACAGAATGGGGTCGTTGGATTCTTTTGAGTTCAGTTTTATATTTGAACAGTGAATAATGAATAGTATGTAGATATAGCGTTTTAATAGCCCATCATAGGTACACTGTATACAGGATGGTTAAGTGTGAACAATTATAATTTAAACCAGGGCTTGAAACCGGTAACCGATTTTTCCCGGTAACCGGTTACCATGAGTACTTTTTGGACTGGTATCCGCTTCCCGGTTCTCGAGTTTCAATTTTGAGAAGCGGTTATCAATTACCGGTAATCACGGAATTTGATAAAGGGGGAAATCTATAACGGTAACCGTTTATTTTTAGAACCGGTTAATTAATCGGAAGTATACAAAACCGTAAATCTCAAACCAATTAACTTAAAAATAATTTTTTTTTAATTATATTGAATATTCTAAATAGAAGAAAATAATATTTATAAAATACTAAAATTATTTTAGAACTACTAAGTATTAAAATTTAAAAATACCAAAACAAGCGTGTTTGATTGCGGAATCGTATCGGCGCACTAACAAAAGATTCTCAGTAGTCAGTACCTATGATATAGGTACTGAATACTGATACGAATGGTAGAAACATCGACGAATGCGGGCTGATACATATATATAATAGTATATAACTCTTGCATGTACGATATTGTACCAAGTACTAGGTAATAGGTAGGTTATATAACTTATAATCAGGGACTGTTTTGATATTCATTATTTAATAATAAGTTCGTTACATTAGTTCGTAATAATAGTAATACTGAACAAAACTGTGTAGTACTATACTAAACATGTTAAGTTTGATGAAAAAAAATAGAGTAGGTATTAAAACAAAAAAAAAAAAAAAAACGGTTTTGTGAGGTAACCGGTAATTTTGAAGATTTAAAACCGCTTCCAAATAGATAACCGGTAATCCCATTTATAAAATTTATTTCGGTAAGCGGGAAATGATTATCATTATTTCTAAAAACCTCGATAACCGGTAACCGGTTCCAAAAAATTTGCCGGGTCCTATCGGACCCGGTAACCGATTTCTTCAGGAGCGGTTTCAAGCCCTGATTTAAACCATTACACGATATATAGGTTATAGAGCCACGATGACCTCCCTTCTAATTATTACAAACTTTATCAAATTTAACATCGCATAACATGATTAATAATTAAGTAAGTTTATACGTCAGTTATAATGAGTAATAATATTATATAGTCATATATATACTATTATAATGTTATAACAACTATAATAATAATACATTAATATCTAATACTTTTATTTTATTTTATACTATTAAATTATTTAATGATGATTTAATGAACGGTATTTAATATTACTTACATGCATGCAGTTATTAATGAAAACATTTTACTATGGTTGAGACTTTTGATATACAGTGTATCCCAAAAGTCCCGTATCACCCTTAGTATCACCGTAGATAATCAATATATTTAAGTACAGTTTTTTTACTGTAATAAGTATGGAAATTCTGATTGAATAGCATAATATTCGATTTTTTGTTATCAAAAATTCAAAAAACTTTTTTCAGGCAAATAAGTTTTTTAAATTTTCAAGATAGCCGTTTTTTTGTTATTATTTTTTAAAACAGTTCAAAAAATTTAAATTTAATGAAAATCGCCCAAGTTGGGGCTAATTATTATTTTGAATTTCTATTTTCTAAGAATAATAGTTTTGTTACCTATGCATACGGCATTAGCAAAATAGGTAACCAGTTTCACTATTCACTGTTCAGTAAACGATGAGACACAGCTATTGTCCTTTAATTATTTCTATTAAAATCAAAACTTTAATTAAGTATGTATTAGTTTTGTCAGATTTAAATAGATATTTTATTATTAAAATGAAAAAAATTATTTTTTTTGGAATTATTATGAATTTTGATATACCAAATATCAGTTATTAAAAATTTAAGTTTTTAATCTTATAACTGAAAGCTTTCACTAATAATTAGATAAGATTGTCATAAAAAATGCCAGCGTTCCAATTTCTGATTAAAGGATGCTCATATTTTGCTAAATAATAATTAGCTCTAACTTGGGCAATTTTCATTAAATTTTAATATTTTTTTTTGAACTATTTTAAAAAATACGATCAACAAAATGGCTATCTAGTATCTTGGAAACTTAAAAACTTATTTGCCTAAAAAAATTATTGAATTATTGAAAAAAAAACTGCGTTTAAATATATTGATTTACCACGAAGATACTAAGGGTGATACGGGACTTTTGGGACTTACTGTAGATTATTTGAAAAAAAAAATAATTAAAATACTGTGTCGTTAAAGTATCAGAATATACTCAAGACATATAACGATAGGTACCTCACATTATAACGACCGACGACAAAAGTAAGTACACACATTTATCTATAAAATATTTCATAATAAAATATTGTATTACATTTACAACATACGATTACCATTATTTACAAGAACCGTAGAAACAACTTTTAATTGTCTAAATATGTCATACCACCGACGATGGTAGATGTAACTTAAAAACTAAAACCGTTAAAACGAATATATAGGTATTATATAGGAATATATAGGTATTGTATTTGGACATGACTATTTTAAATATTCGTAAAAGCACGAGGGTAAGTTAAAGTTGAACGTGAAAAAGTTAAGTAAAAAAAAAAAAAAAGTTTAGTCTATATTGTGACTAGTTTGTTACAGTTTTAATGAAATGTTGTACTTGTATTAATTGTCATAGAATATTGACTAATATTTAATATTTCATTTTAACATCTAATAATAAATAAATAAGAAGTATTTATTAGAATCTGCACGTAATACATACTTGCAGCTGCATTTGGTTTAATAATAATATAATAATGTCCTTAATTAAAAATATACATATACATAATATCTGTACACAATCAAACGATAATATTTACACAATTACACTGAATAGATACCTACTTAACACAACGGCAAGTATAATAAATTAAATAATTTTATTATAATTTATTATTCTATCTCATATCGTGTGCAGTGGATTATCCGGACACACGTGTACCTTGGCGGACACGCCTTCGAAGCCGGTGGATCCCGTGTTAGTCACTCGGAACACGGCCCCCGAATAAGGACGTTTGGCCCTTTGAGCTTCGGTCAACTGGTAACCGGCCGTCGTCACGTACAGCTCGTCCAATTTCGGTCCGCCGAACGCGGCCGAGGTGACCTGATAGGCGGGCAATTGGACGGTTGTCAACAGAGTGCCGGTGACGGGATCGATTTTCAAGATCTAAACAAAATAATTAATAATTTTTATACGCCCGAGCAACGCGATGAGTTTCAAAAATATAAAAATAAAATGTTTTGAAAACGTGCGCTGCTGGGCGGACGACACTCACGTGATTGCTGTTGAAACACGCCACCCAGAGGTTGCCGTTTTTGTCGATGGTCATGCCGTCCGGATCGCCGGCGACTTTATTGGCTGTCAAGTCGAAAATCACTTTTCCGTTGGCTGTGCACGTCAGCGGTCGATGGGGTAAAAAAAAAACACATAATTCACGCACGTGGTATTATTGTGATACATGCATCATAATATTATAAAAGTGATTTCGATGACTCACATAGGTCTCCGGTGTTGATGTCGAAATCGTACGCCTCGACCGCGAACTTGTAAGTGTCCACATAGTAGAACTCTTTGTTATCCGAACTCCACGCCATCCCGTTGGAGATGCTCACGTTGGACAAGCGCTTGTTGATGGTGCCATCGAGTTCCACCGAGAACAGGGAACCGCGGCGCTTGTAATAGTGGCCCGGGTTGTCCTCCATCTCCGAACCCATGGATCCTATATTAGCGAAGGAAAATAAATTAAAACGTTAAGTTATACCCAATTGTTTTGTAAAATAAACGGCTATATTCGTATGCGGTTAAGGCGTATAACACCAAAATTTTTTTTTTCTTTTACCATAGCGATTTTGTGCTAAGTGTTTTTACAGTCTTATATAGCGGTAAAAATTCAGACTTGTATAAAATACCTCTTTTCAGCAATAGGTACATTATAAAATTTTTTTTCTCAAAGCCTCAAAATTTGCAATGGCCTTGGTTAGGTTTTAAAAATTAGAACGTGTACCTGCGATGTACTCGTCTATGTTTTACACTCACCGACCCACAGTCGACCAGTGGCGTCCGCTTTACCGTCGTTCAGACGATTGCCCGGTGTCTCGTCGATCAGTTTCTCGTACTTGGGCTGACTCGTTGTATTCGAACGCCCGTCCCACTGCACTATGCCGAGCGAAGCCCCCAGACCTACCACGAACATATCAGCCTTATCCTCGATCGGCAGGATGAGCGTTACATCGTTGTAGCCCTCTAAAACCGCAACACAAGAACAATATATTTACACAAATTCAACAATATCTCAATTACTATAACTGATATTAGCCAAAACTCATAAAGTAAGAATACAATATATAGTTACTCGTAGGAAAAAGTATCTAAATTAAGTTACTGCATAGTTAAGAGTTATTTTGTTGTTGTTGTTATTTAGTCATAGTCGTAGGCATAGACATAGTCGGAGTAAATTTATACTCATACTCATGGCGATAAGAAATATTTTTTGTTGATAACAAATAGTTTCAGTTTGATATTCATTCGTTTTAAAATTGCATCATTCTTTTTTCAATGTTATACTTAATACGGATTGACGAAAATGTCACACGGAAATTTACAATGTACCAATGAAAACTTTAGGTGATTTTAAAGTCCCGAAATGACTGGTTATTAAAACTTAGGAAACACATTTCTGTGACTATTGTTACTGCGCAAATGGGACGTATACGATCGTCGTACCTATCTTGGCGCTGAAGAAGCTGTTCGATTCCGGATGGTATCTGTTGATCTTGCCCTGGTGGAGATCTACGAAATACAAGCTGCGGGTCGGCGAGTGCCAGTGTGGGCCTTCTCCGAGTTCCAAAGCCGGCGTCACTCGTTCTACACTGTACTGCTGAGGCGTCTGCAGGAAAACAAATCCATTCTGTCATTAATTTGGTTTCCATTTTTCAAAAAACGGTTAATAGCAGCAGAAGGCTATAATATGTATATTGTATATATATATATATATATATTATATACACGTATAAATATTTATTTTTTTTAATCACGTTACCAACTAATATAAAATCAAAAGAAAAAAGAAAACATTACACACATCTGTTGGTTTAGCACTTATTGCTTCGGCCAACAGACAGCTGCAGATGAGCGTCGACCACAAAACCGAAGAACGGTTGTCCTCATTATTCGACTTGTGCATATTTAATCGTGCGAGGATATTAGCACTTAGGGTAGGTACAGCTATAAGTAGGTACGCGGCGGAAAAAAGCCAATGCTATACACGGCGGAAAAAACGGCAATGTTATACAAGGCGAGTGAAACGGTCGTATTTATAAGACTGCAGTTTCCCGGCGGCGGTGGAGGTACGTCATTCACCGCTATATTTTATACGCATTTGTATACGCATAGATATATACCTATATATTGTGTGCATAAATGTTACGCTTGTTTATCGTAATTGAAAACCGTACACACACCTGCATAGACGACGACGACGGCGGCGGCTGCGTTAGTGAACTCATATCAGCGTAGAACGTTTCTACTCCTTGGCCGTACACGATCACTTTAACTTCGTCTCTGGAAAACACATTACCAAAAATATAAAATCTTTGCAAATCAAAAACTAGTTAGGTACTACAATATATTGTATTTCGTATTCTGTTTGAGTTACATACGGATTTCGGGTATTGGGGGGGCGTCATCTTCGAATATTATAATAGTTGTTATTATAAAATTATAAATAATAATATACAAACGTCACTTTTTTTGGCCTACACGGCATCGTGTCGGAGTCACGTCCGCAAATCGCAACGCCTTAATATAAGCTCACAATGTCGTATATGATATAAAATATGACAACATGATAGTTATGGGTAGTACCGTAGTGAGTATACAGTTAGGCAGAGATATATTGGGTCTGGGACCAACAAAAACGAACAAGCTTTGCAATCAGCCGGGTAAACGTATTTTGTTAACCAAATTTCATCGGCAATAAAAACCCAATTATTACTTATATACCTAGTCATTATGTCATATTACTTACTAGTTTTTACTAATAAGATATTATGCATCCATCCGAATATATTATTATTATGTGACTGGTGTACATCAAAAATCGAACAAATCAACTCAACTCAACATTAATACAAAGCGATTATATATTTATGACGACGATGATAAGGGTATAAATAATACATTTTTGACGACATTATGGACTGGAGCCTCGTGTCATGCGTTTGGGCAAATTACATTTTTACCTAATAAAAACAATGTATTTAGGCGTATTCCTTGTTTGAGCGAATATGGTATACAAGATAAAATTTTAGAAACAAATCAATTTTTAAGATTTTTTTATAATATAAAAAACAAATACAATTTTTAGACTTTAAATTGTAATAATATTTTAATTTAATTTGTGATTTTTAAACACATAAAAAACCAGTCTATTTTGAACCATACCCGTGGAATTCAAGGACAGTCCCAAGTCTGTCAAAGGAGGGAAAATAGATCGATAAAATACTGCCCAAACGCATCACAGCATAATATTAAAAAAGTTCACCATAACACATTGCAATTTTTACAAACTCACCCAAACGCAAAACACCCATGGATTATTCGTGAAAAGTTTATTACGAATAGAATATTATACTGAAACGAAGATATTATAAAATATCAATTATTAAGCGATTTGTTGAATTTAATATTACGTCTATATCTATAGATATTTGTCATATAATTAAGTCTTATTTATCTTGGTTTAGTTTGTGCAGTGGCGTATTTTCAATTTTTTTCTGGGGGTGGTCCAATAATTCCAACATAATATAGATAGGTACAGTACCTATAGTAAGTAACTGATATATAGAAATAGTTTTTAATAGATTATAAGAATAAAAAATAGTTGATTTATTATATTTTATAATTTTCAAGTACAAAATCCAAGTGTCTTTTTTTTACAAAGTTTTATTTTTTTATTTGTAGACATATTTATTCCAATTCCAATTTCCAAACAATAAATAGATACAAATAATTTATAAATTATACAACTATAAAAAAAATAAAAAAATAAATTTGATACCATTTATTAAATAATTATGAAATGTTAGGTTTTGTCAAATCTGTATTTACACCTATCACAAATGAGAGACAATAATTATTCTCATTACACGTTGACAATTAATATTATTTCCATAGCAGTTTAATAATACTATGTTGTCAACTTCGTGTTAACACGTAAAAATAATGAAAGGTTTAAATTGTAGTATAAGTAAATATCACTCTGCTAATCTCTGAACAGAAAATAAATACTAAGTAGGCAAACATGGTTCTAAATGAATACTAATTGTCGTGTCGGCCAGTTGACTCCAAAAATTACATTAATGTTTTATGTTATTATAAAAAATAATAAATTCTTTACTGCTCACATCGGGTCAATGAGCTATTATTATTATTTACTACCTAATTTACTAGGTATATATATAATTTGTACTTACATAAGTAATAGATTTATAGATCTAATATATTTTATTGAAGAAATAATATTCAAATACATGCACTCGTATAGCCGATGCCGTCGTTCGGTAACAAAATACAAACATGAAGTAATTAGTAAATGATTCTACGACAATTGCCGTGTTTACAAAGCAAAAATTTAAATAGATAAATAATAGCTACCAGCTATACTGTCCTATAGAAATAGTTTATTGGAGAATGATGTGCGTCGTCAATTTCTTGCGATAAGAATGTTTTGACTTTTTTGAGAATTATTGATGTTTATCTAATATGGGTATTTTATAAATAGTGTAATACTACAAAACGAGGATAAGTTTAGTTACACGGGTTTTTGGACGTTCGGTCGTTGGCTAATTTTAAACTATATTTCATATAAATATTTTGTTCACGGGAAAAAACCTTGTCTGCGTGTGCTCACATAAATATCGGGGTCTGCAGATATGTAAAACATTTTTTTTTTCTTGGAGAGATTCTGGGGGGGGTCCAGTACCCCTGGACCACCCCCGTAAATACGCCACTGAGTTTGTGTAACGCAGTTCTCGTTAAAACAAAAACTTCGTTTCTCTAGAGAGAAATAAACCTGCAGCTACACACCGAGCAAACAGTTATAATCAGCTCTCGGTTGATTTGATATTATAATATAATGCAGCATGATGGTTTACATAAGTAATTCAATAATATTTTAATCACTATTGACAACCTGCAAAACGAAATATTTGTTTTGATACGGTAGTACAGCTGCGTTAGCCTGAATAAAACTCAAACTTTGTCTCGTCAGCTTTAAATAATTTTGTGACTTAAATTCAAGGAATTGTTTTTTTCTGTTCCATTTTTATATTTTTAAACAATTTAGTTTGTGTATATTACCGGTAATATAAAGATATACAAACGAGGGCGATCGAATATGATCGAATAAAAAAATGATGTTAGTAATATTAATGATCACCGTCCACCACTAACAAATGTTGTAAAAAAGTATTGGAATGCTGCATCAAGTATTATGTAGTACAACATAAAATCTAAAATTACTAAATTAACGATATGACACTCGCGGTCTCGGACGTTAATATAGTTAAAATAATAGAGTGATTGTTGTTAAAGGCACTATACAATTATTGAACTTGTTAATCTATTTATTAAAAATGATATATTTTAAGGTTTTAATAGATTATTCAATATACATAATGTAATACACTGATACCTATAAAATGTAGATATTATTTTCTAATACGCATAATGCGTTGTATACGTAAACAATTTGTCCTGAAAATCGAATGTCTATTCGACTATAGGTATAGTTCAAAATACCGTAAACACGTAACAAAAAAATCTTTAACTAATAAAATATATCAATTTTAGTCGATAATAGAATAACACCGTCATCGATGAATATCTGTGATACAATATACCTGCGTATATAAGATGCGTCGGACGTCATAGTCGAAGGCACAATAATAATATAATAATAGTTTTCGTTTGTGTGGCGTAGGTGAATTAAGACGTTGTGTGTAGTACCTATAAAGCCATCCAAGGCGATAAATGAGCACATTATAATATCATTCGGAAGCAACAAGGAACAACCAGCAAAAACAACGAATTGAATAAACAAAAACAAAATAATTATACGTCGAAAAAACAAACATCGCGACCTCCGATACGTGAGAATAAAATTTGTTTTCCTTCTTGAATCGATCGAAATGGACGGGCATCAATAAATATACTGTCTTGACAATAATTGTATCATGGTTTCATACGGTTCTATATAATATTAAACTCGAATCGCGGTTAAACTGGTACACATCAATGTATACTAATTTATGAAATAGGTACAGGTTTGCGAGAAATAGAATAAAACAAATACGAACACAGCGATAAGTCTCAGCCGTAAATTATTATATAATAATATGTGAAATGTGAATAACGCCTTTTGGATACAGAAAATAGGGATAAGACGAATAAAGAGATCATTAAAAGGGATAAGGTTTTTTGATTAAAATCTGTTTGGAAATTAAATCGCCTTGTTTTGTAAATTTATAACGATGATAGCTCAGTATTATTAATACTCGCCGTTATTAATACGCCTTTTACGCACTTTGGCGAGAGAAGCATACTCCTCGAATATGCGCAAATCATGTGATTCAGGTGTCCGAGACCTATATTATGATTATATTACACCAGCAGAACGGAAATCGAATACACTTAGGTCAATATAATAATATAATATTGCGTTGTTAATTTATTATTACAAAATCAAAACGAGTTTATTATAAAATATACTCATCACCAGGCATTTCAGAAAATGTATACGTATTAATAACATTATAAAATAAAATATGGTCCCAATCATAAAATACCTTATATAGGTATACTATTACACGCAAATCGGATATAATACCCATTAAACGTGCTGATAATATTTAAATAAAAAAACCTATCATAACACCAATAGGAATTTATTATTATTATTGTTTTTAATAATATCATAGCTGCCGTTATTTTATATACATATTATTTATTGTTAAATATTAAGGACACGTGTCCAATTTACAATAAAGTAAAATATGTTCTATAGTGATAACAATATATTATATTTTCATTAAATAAGGAAAAAAACTATAATTGACATTATTTGTTGTATCATAATAGGTACAAATAGATATAACCAGTGACACAATTAGGATTTTGTTTTTTTAGGGGGAGGGGGCACGCGTTTATCCATTCATGATTTCTTGCTGAGTAATATTTTTGTTTTTATTAAAACATGCATTTAAATATCATCATATTCCCTAACTATTTTATTTATTATCCAAGTAAAACTAAATACTACTATAGTAGGTATACATTTGGAGTCCTCACTGCAGTGCGTCAATATAACCTATAACACAGGTAAGGAAAAATGTGAGAAACGGACAAGAAGCATAAAATCGATATAAATTTCTAAAATTGGACAAGTTAATATTAATCAAGTTGCAATCATCATAATTCACGAATCATAATAAACGTACATAATATATCACTATACCAGCAATTTGAGCAATTAGTGTTCAAGAATACAATTTTGAACTTCC